TTATTATTATTATTATTATTATTATTATTATTGGGACTGATCAATTGATCTTTTCTTTTTTGCTTTGTTATCCTAGGCTTTTATCTTCTGATGTTTGAGAGCAGAAGGATGCTAGCATATTTTTTGGGATTTTGATATTCTACACCCTGATCATCATTTCTTCTTGGCTTTTAATATAGGTTCTCGAAGCAATCACAACGAAGAAGTGCAGAGAAGAATTTTCTTTGGAATCTTTGGAAACAGTTGGAGATTCTTTTCTTAAATATGTGGCCAGCAGATATCTTTTTAAAATGTACGAACATTATCACCAGGGATTACTTACGAAGAAAAGGGAAAAAATAATTTCGAATTCTGTTTTATGTAGCCTCGGGCGGACCAAAAATTTGTCGGTATATCTTTATCCATTTATTTTCTTGTGGATTATTTATTTTTCCAATTGCCATAATTTTGCTCACTATGAAATTTACAATGGTTATTTACTACAGATTTAAATAGCTTATATTTTTATTTAAATAATTGACACTAAAAATACTTATGTCAAAGATGTCAGAGGTTAGATAAAGACGGAAGATGTTTCAGATATTGGGTTTGATTTCGGAGGTTGGTTGTGTGATAAAATGCTAGCCTGGATTTCTCTCTTTTGATCTCTCTGTTTGTAGGCATAGCTAGGGAATCTCTAGCCATTATTGGGAATAAGTGTGACATGTCATGATGTTTATAGCTATAATGGATAACTTCAACAAGAAGACTTTTGCCACTTAAATTTCATTGCTATTTCACTTTAAAGAGAGCTTGTAAAGTCTTGTAAATTCTTGGACGATTCTTGCATTGATGATGATATTACAAACCTTCTCTTGTATGGTTGCTCCATGATTTGCTCAAATTCACCGGTGCATTCTAAAATTTTGATTTAGCATTCTGTTATGCAAATTTTTGCATATATAGAAAAGATTATAAATTAAGAAAAAAAATTTTGAGATGATCCTTGTATGGCTCAAAATTGGCTTGAAAAAAATTTGATATATTTTTTCAACTCATAGATCAACTCGCTTATTTTGATCCAAGCTCAAGCTAAACAGAAATCCAAATTGATTTTGAAGCAATTAATATTCTTCAAGCTAAATTCTCATGTCTAATCCCGAGTTTTCGCTGCCTATTGTGGTGGTGTCCCCTGCACCATTGCAAACTCCATCTCTAACTCTCCATAAATAGGAAATCTTCATCCAAAAGTGGTAAAAAATTGAAAATCATATTTTAAAAATTGACGAAAACTACAAATGGTGGTGGCTTTAAATAAGACCCAAGCCCCCAAAACCACAATGTAAAATTACAAGAAGTACCCTACATCACAAAGGATATAAAATAATTCATTTACAAAGAAAATTCACATGTAACAATGTTATACTGCATCATCCACCGTTGCTCGTCTCTTAGGTGTCTTATGGAGGCCAATTGAACTCTCTAGCTCCTTGGTGTCTTTCTTGGCATTCCACTCATGGCTCTTAGGCATTTACTCAAGGCCTCTTCTGAGTTCCTCTAGGAATTTATTCTTCTCTATAGCAATATTTTTGTCACCATTACTTTTGTCAACATTGAGGATTCTCTCAAAAGTTTTCCTTTACATTTATTTCTTTTTGGCTTGCCCCTATGTTATTGAGCTGATTGATCTTCTGAACAAATAGTAACATGATAGTTTTGGTTACTGAATAGGAAAATTAGTAATTCTTTAAGTTGCGCGACAGTAAATAATTACTTTGTTGTTTTAAGTCGTCCCTTTCTTAGCTAGCCTTTGTATTTTTAGTTGCATAGCTTTTGTTTTTAATATTCCTTCCAAGTGATCCAACAAAGAACAAATTTATTGACTTGTAATATTCCCAGAAATCCCTCTTGACCTTATGTTGCTAAGAAATGAAGGGCTTCATGATTTGCACAAGGAAGGCTCTAATTTCCTTTTTCGAAACCAATTATGAGAATGCTACATCTTATTTATGTTTTTAATATGTTTCAAGGAGAACTATTGAGACATTTTAGTTCTTTTAAATTCGCTTCTTTTTCAAATTTTATTCTTATTTTGCTAGAACTTTATGATTTAATGCATAATTATCGGTTTGATGCACCATTTACAATTAAATGTGCTTGCTATTATATGTTTCTTTCACATTGTTCTTAGCTCTCTTATAAAGTTTTATTACATATATGGCACAGCTTTTGAACTGTGTGCAATTGATGTTTGTTATAGAATTTAGAATGTTAATGTGGATGCATGTAAGAACGGCAAAATCTTAAATTCAAGTGAACCAGTCTGTACTTGAACTTGAATCAAAATTGATTTACTTGTCAAATCTAGTTACTCGACTCGTAATTAATTTGCAATTTCTTACATGTTCTTAAGTTTATTTCTTCTTGTTTACAATTTATTTGTACGCTTGTTTCAGTATCTTAAGCAGTCCATTTGTTATTATGCTTTTAAGTCCTAATCATCCCGTTGAAGTTCTCAATAATCTATATGTTTTCCATGTCATATTTTATTTCTTAATTTCATCCAGCTTCCTAAATTTCTTTTCAACTTGCAGGGTTTTATCCGCATGGAAGAGTATGAGCCCAAGCAATGGGTAATCCCTGGCGAGAATTCTGATTCCAGAATGTCCTTCTCTTCTATTATGGCATTGCCAAACATTTATAGTATTGGAAAAAGATTTATTAAGAGTAAGGTCATTGCTGATTCTGTGGAGGCTTTAATAGGAACATATCTTATTGCTGCTGGAGAAGTGCAAACATTATTTTATTTAAAGTGGTTAGGTTTGGAGATAAATGACCACGAAGAAAAAATTGTTGGAAGTCCTGTTTTGCAAAATCCTAAATTTTACGTGAATATAAAGGATCTCCAGTTGCTTCTCAAATACGAATTTCGCAATCCATCACTTCTAGTGGAGGCATTAACACATGGATCATATCAGGTGTCAGATATTCCAAGATGTTATCAGGTGTGTTTGATGGTACTTCAATGTTTTTTTAGCCATATGAGTATTTTTTTAAAAATAAAATTAGGTTAATGTCACCGGGATACCTCACAGTTGTGCGACTTTTGAAGCCCATATTTTTTAAAACCCTTCACTTTGACATTCTTCTAGGGTTCCTAGAAGATATTTAGAAGAGGATTAGTAGGGAAGTGGTTTTGAAGTAGTAAGAGGATGAGAATATGGGAATTTGATGGCTCGTTTGGAATGGAATTGGGGACTTTTGGCGGCTGTCCAAACTAACAACAGTCAAATGGGAAAACGGCGAGATAGAGGCGGCAAGGAGGATCCATCACTTATTCCTGAGCAAGATATAGACACATCACTTGTAAAAGGAAAATAAAAAAAAAGTCTCCAAAACACAAAATAATACGTAAAAAGTCTCCAACAGAAAAAAAAATCACACATAAATAGGTTTCTAATAAAAATTAACTCTTAATAGAAATAAAGAAATAAGTAATAAGTCAGAAAAGGCAAAATTTCTATCTGAATTTGATAATTAAACTGAAATTTTTGGCTCGTTGATGTCGCAATCACGGGATCTTCTGATCCCAAGTCTCTCAGATGCATCTTCTTCGGTTACTCGTCTAATTAAAAATGGTACAAATGCTACTCTCCATCTACTAGAAAAATATATAACTTATGGATGTCATGTTTTTTTGAGAATCAATCATATTCTCTCAAATCTAAAATTCTATGAGAGAACTCGAGAAAATATCATATTTAGATTTTTTTTAAGATATTCAGGCCATTTTTGTTTTAACTGAATCAAATCATGTATCTCAATCAGCTCCACTTGAAGAATCAAGCTCTATTACAGAAATAGTTTCAGTCATTTCTATTCCACCTTAACATGACATCAGTGATCATGAATTTCATATCTATACCAGAAGAAAAATGACCATTGAACATATAGAGGATACTATGTAGACTCAAAACTATCAAGTGCTCGAACCATATCATCCTTTATTTGATAATCATAATGGTAGGAATTAGTCTTGACTATTTTACACCGATGGTTGATGATTTTAATCAACCAATTACATATAGGAAAAATATTTGAGAGTGCACTGGTCATCCAATTGAAAGATGTGGTTTATGGTAAGCTGCTACCATCTTATAACACCTTTGTGACAAACTTGATAGTATGTCAATTTTCAACTCTATCCAGGTGGCTCTAAATGTTCCAGCAAGGAAACAGGTAGTTGTGGAAGAAATTCAATCTATTGAAAAGAATAACACATGTACACTTACAGAGCTATCTAATTATAAAATTCCTATACTTTGTAAATGGATATTTATGGTCAAATACAACGTTGATGAAAATATGAAAATATGGTCAGACTAGTTGATAAGGGCTTCACACAGTCCTTTACACACATTGCCAAATTGAATACGGTTCGGGTTCTATTATCTCTTGCAATAAATCAAGATCGTTCTTTATACTAATTTGATGTCAAAAATGCTTTCTTAAATGACTATCTAGTGAAAAGTCTACATGATTATGCCCCGAAGCTTGAAAAATAGGTCAAATAACTGATTGGTTTGCAAGTTGAAAACTTTTTATGGCTTGAAGTAATCTGCATGTACTTGATTTGACATGTTTGCTAAAACAGTGAAAACAAATGGATATCATCAGTATCAAGTTGATTATATACTGCTAAATCTAATACTAGTGGAAAATTTATTATTCTCATATTATATATAGGTGATGATTAAGAGGGAATTATCATATAAAAATGATATTTACAGGTGAATTTTAGATCAAAGACTGCAGGAATCTTTGATATTTTTTGGGAATGGAGGTAACTCAGTCTAGGAAGGGATTGTAGGGAATTGACGTATTTTAAAGAACTCTAAAAATAGTAAAGATACTTTGTTTTGTTTTCATTAGATAGAAACCAGAGATTACAATCTTCATTACACTGAAAACAAAACAAAGTATCTTAAAGCAGAAAATAACAACATACAAGCAGTTCTTTAAAAACCAATAACCTAATTAGAAAATATAAAAA